TCGAGTCGACTTCCCACAAATGTTCTTAAAATAATAAGAAATATAACAGTTAATATACACAAAATTATGTAAACCATATTTCCGATGTTGATTTTATTTGCAGAAGAAATAACGTGTTAAATACAGAAACCATATTTATGTTTTCATATTTATAGGAGCTCATTTAAAAAATGCAGACTTTGTTAACAATAACAAGTTAAAAACGTAAATAGATATTAAGTGCAGCGATTTATGAAAGGGTGGCGCCCCTGTCTAAAAATAAAATTAGGTAATAAAGATTGAAAAAAATCGGTAGCCGAAAAGACTTGTTTCTATCTCCAGACGGACACGTGTTCCCTTTTGGATACATTATTTTACCCGTTTCAAGTGATGGTTTAAAAGTTTCTTATCGTTATAGGGGTGCCACATGATGAATATAATAAACAGCCTTTTAAAATGTTTCACTTAAAGAATACAATTGAGCCGGAATCGAAATTATGATGAACAGATCTTCGAAAAAATATGTTATGTAAACAATGTTAGTACATAAAAATATAATTGAAAATAAACAGTAGAAACCATATGACACCCGAAATTGATTATTTCTTTTGAAAATTAAATTTAGTGATGACTGACTCTAACCATTTAATAATGAGTAAATTATACTTCATAACTTTCCTCTATTAGTCTAATTCGAGTACATAAACTTCCTTTGTGTACTCGATTCCAATTTCGTGCGGAATCGTGTATATGACTAACGTATAAATAAACAGATATGTCTAAATTATACACCAAAAAACCTTTTTATTTAATATTGCTTTCCCACATTTACATTATTAGTTAAATTTTAAAATCCAAGAGCAAATATAAACGGCAATTCGTCAAATTGTGGTATTCAAAATCGAAATAATAATACACTTTTGCTGCTTTTTCTGAGTAAGGAGGGTATTGTCACAAGTAACCCTTAAGGGACAATAATGCGAAAATCTGCATAGCATCATTAAATGGGCCCCTTCATAAGAATAATATTTTATATAAACCATTTTTTGATATCCCCGCTAGTTTCCGCAATAACCGATTGCCTCAAGATAAATGGGCCACCCTGTATATAAATTAATTAAGTGACATTCAAACAGGGCTGGATTTACCACGAGGCGCACAAGGCCCGGGCCTAGGGACGCATCGTTGCAAGAACCAATTTAATTTGCAAACGAATGTATATTAAAAATAATTGATCAAAAGTGTGAAAATGAATCAGAATGCCGAAAGGGCTCCTACAAATTTAAGCAGAATGCATTTAAAGCCAAAGGCCGTGTTTCCCTCATCGGACAAAAGAACAGAGCCGAAGCAAATTCCGAATCATTGTTCGCAGAGGGTAAATATAGAGGGAAATCTGGAGCAAGAGAGGTAACTGCAGAAAACGCTAAAGATACATTTTACATCACAACTACAATATACAAAAATTAACAATCCGATGAAGTGAATAACTTTTATTTGACGATTTAACAGCAACAGCAACAGATTTAAAAGCAACTCCAATCCTTTCCCATTTGTGAAAGAATAACATTCCGAAGTCTTTTACATAAAGTACATGAAATACACTGTTAATTAGCCGGATCTTCTCAGTCCAGAAGGGATCTGAAGGTCCTGGATACGGCAACCTTAGACTAAAGTTGTATTTCAAGATGAATGCCTCTGGCTCTAAGTATCTTTATCACTTCTGGATATACCTCTACACGGACGAAACAGTTAAAGACATTCAAAAAAGGCGGATTCATTCACAAAGAATTGAAGTCGCTAATTAATCCAAATGAGTTTAAACATTTCAAAAACCTATAGATGGTTGTGTGTCTACACAAATTATTTTTGAATGTACAGGATGTCCCATTTTTACAGTGTAAATAAATAACTGATTTTTTAAAACGGAACACTGTATATTTTTAGTTGTTTCGATGTCATTTGTTAACCTTTACATTGCACTCCTTCCCTTTTTGATGTTTTGACAATATTGCCATTTTATTAATTTTTTCCTAATAATTCCTCATATAAGCAAGCCTCACTTTCTTGGACCGTAGCGATCTTTTTTGAAGTTAAGAAATAAAATTTGGGCAATAATGTTAATCCGAGTAACAGGCAACACTTTGATAACGAGAAAGTTAGATTTAGTGATACAGTCTGAACTTCTAAGTTCAACATTTCTCACAAAAGTACCTACCCACTAAAATTTTTCGCGTCTAGGGGCGCACAAGCATTAAATCCGACCCTGCATTCAAATATGAGATTACAAACGTTCACTTGTATCTGTGATTAGGTGCCCTTTAAATATACAGTCTGTCAACTTGCTGATTTGTGTGTTTCATTACTCTTTCTTTACCCACTCAATAGGTTCTTGTCTGCCGGCAGGGTATCTTGAAACAATAACAAACGTTGCTAACAGGAAAACCGAAGGTGAAGTGACGAACAAAAGTTAATTTAAATACTTCAGTGGGGCAGGAACAGCTCAACTTTTTCTAATGGGTACTTGTTGAGTTGATGAAGGGAAAAGACTTATGGGGATGTGTTTTTTTTTGTTTAATTACCTTAATAATAAGGGGAAACTCGACAGGGGTAATTTAAAAATTTTGGGGTTATCCTCCCTAAAAAACTCCTCGGTGTATGACAGTTTTGAACCATCTAAAATAAATATATTTTTAATTACCCTTTAATGATCCAGAAGTATTCAGATTTTTTTCTTCACTCGTTTAAAACTCCGTCCTAGGACTTTTGGAAAACCTTATACCATGCGACGATAAAAAATGAGTTGCTGTCGAGTCACCTTTGGAATTTTTGTTTACATGGGAAATCGTACTTAACTTGACCTTCCAAAGGCGACTCGACAGCAACTCATTTTTAATTATCGGTACAGGACAATAACTCCCGACCAATATCCCCCCCGGACAAAAACCCCTCTACATTAAACCCCGAGAGACATTTACCTCCCGACAAAGAAACCTACGTTGCAAATGTCAAGTCTATTTTCGACTGAAAAACGTAGAATTCCCTTTTTTCCCGTTGTCGTTCCCTTTGGAAATTTTCGAAAGAACAAATGTTCGCGGGCATACTAGTCCCAGTCATCGCAAGACAGACAGACAGGCAAACATTCATTTTTATTTACATAGATAATAGCAGACCCGACAAACGTTGACATTCAGCCATGTGATGTATCAGAAACGCTAAACGTAACGTGCAGGTTATCTGCCAAGAAACGTTATTTTCCGGTATAGACATTCTCCACTTGCATTTTGTGGCTTTCTTGGAATGACATTCTACTAATTTCAACTCTATTAACCAGTTACCTGTTACAGTACCCCCTTCTTGTTTTTGAAAGCGATTTCAAAAACAACAAATTAAAAATAAACGACAGCTTATCCCGAAACGATTTCTAAAAAAATGACAATCTACCTACGTTTGTTTCTGAGATGAAAAAAGGGTAAAAACTGCCTACTCCAGATATTTTTACGTAGAATCCAGGAGCGTAGTAAAAATAAATGTTTTGACCACCATTTCTGAGATTTGACTCAAAGTTGGTATTTTCAAATGCAACCCCCTGTATAACTTTGCGTAAATTTTTTTACATTCTTTTTCCTGATTGCATTGATGTATCACAACCTATATATTTCCTTAAATTTTCGCCATGGACAAAAAATTAAAACATTTTTTACGGTTTTTAAATAGTCGGTCATGGATTCGAGGAGCTTTTGTTTTTTTATTGCATTCATGACAGCCAATGCTAATCAATAAAAATGGCTGACGATAGAAACATGTCATTTCACAATTTTGAAAAATATGATGTGTTAATTAGTGGTAGGTATATGACACTTACTGATATTTCAGAGGTGGACAACCCCAAACACCTATTACACCTATTTCCTATTTCCAGTTGAACAAGGATTATGTTTGCTGGAAAATGTTAAATAACAACACGGAGGATTTGTTCATTAAATTTTTAGACGACATTAGACAAGTTTATCGTGATTAATTAGATATAATGTAATAGTATACGGGGTGTCCATTATGTATGGAATATACCGACTGTATACAAAATTTTTCTATATGGAAGTTGTTTAACATTTTATTTTCCATAATAAGGCAGCATTCAGTTGTTTTGATTTCAGAAAACAAATGAGTAACGAAAAACAACCCTTTCATTAGCCTCAGATTTTTTTTTCTTTTCGATGATGTAAAATGTATTATAATTACATGAATAACATTAATCTATAGATCCTATATCAAAATGAAACCAATGAACGTGTGCGTCTCTATTAAACCTTGAGACAACACGAAATTAACAATAATTGCTGCAGCAATTTCTCCCAGAATACTCAGACATTTATTGCACGCGTTCCGTGATAGGTTAGTTCACTGCCTTGCAGCTAATAATAACAATATTTTGAACACTTATTGCGATAAAACCATATTATTGCTAATTTCATTTTGTCTTCAAGGTTTAATAAGAAACGTACATGTTCATTTGTTTTATTTTGATGCAGGATTAATGTTATTGTTGTAATTTAAAATTTAAAAAATTCAATTGTTTTTCGTTACTCATTTGTTTTCTGAAATAAAAACAACTGATTGCTGCCTCATTATGAGAAATAATGTCAAATAACTTTTATATAAACAATTTTTTTATACAGTCGTTATTTATCGAGATATATACTATATTCTATACATAATGGGCACCCTGTATAGACAAGACAATGCATGCAAGGTGTATAACATATGTACTTGTTCAGTTTGAATGAATTGTTTGTTGCTAATAGTAACTTTTGAAATTAATTAATCCAGCACTACCAAGACTGTATATAGAATTTCTTAACGTAAACCGCTAACAACATGGTAGACCGCATACTAAATTCAGTTTGGGTCGGTAGACCGCATACTAAACCGGAACCTTTTTTTTAAAATTGGTTTAAAAATTTTAAAATAATAATAATACTCCCTGAAGGATATGATTTAGAATAAAATAAACATAAACTTACTTTAACACGCCGTTCAAATTTGAATACGGGTACGCCTTTTGACTCGACTGGAAAATTTTTTTCTTTGAAGTTGACTAGTAACAGAAGGCAGTCTCGGAGGGTGTCAAATTCGACAGAATCTGCAACGTCACAGTTGACAAAAATTAATCTCTTGGTCACAATGGTCCTTTTGTTTATTGAGTACTGGGTTATTATTCGAATTACTCCGTTAAGGTGTTTTTCAGGTCGATTTACTTGTAATGTTTAACGTATTAGGCTGTACCATCAACAGTGTAGCAAAAATGGTTCAAAGAACACCCAGTTTCCCTATTTTTATTTAATACAGAGTGAGTTTTTTTTTAATTTCAAGCATTGGGATCTCGTAAACCATAAGACATACGGATTCGGTTAAATGAGGAAAGAGTTGTCGTTTTAAGAGCTTATTTAAGATATGCTTTTGTTTTTTGAAAAAAATCCACAGTTCACTAGATATGAGCGAAAAACAGATTTAGTGATTTTTCATTTAACTGTTGTAGAATCATTATTAGAAATACAACAAAATGACACGAATAAAAGTTTTAGACATTTTAATGCTTAACAATTAACATAATGAACATACTAATTTATTTTTATCTTACAATGTTTGAGTTATAATACAAACTTTAATTTTTTTAAATGGTAGTCATAGTTAACTTTGACATTTTTAAAAAGGACAATTTTTTCTCTTTATAACGATATAAGGCTTGCTAAATGTACTTTAATAAATAAACGCCCTGCAGTAATTTTCGTATTAGTGAGAGGTAAGTAAACAGAGTTGGCCATGGAAAACAATATCTAGTGAGATAGGTACCTTTCATTTACGACGAAAATTGGACAGGCCAATGTTATCTTCATTTTCTACCAAATGAATTTCAAGATATGCAGGATGGGTTAGATTTGGAAACACGACGTAATTTACGCTGGTTTCAACACAACGGTGCCCCACCGCACAACTAACTTCAAGTTAAATATTATAATAGACAGTAATTAAGAGAACAAAAATGTTTCCCATGGCAAAATCTGTTTTTACTATACTCTTAATAATACATTTAATACGTTTATTTGTCGAAGTAAGTACAATGATTCTTATATCATTGCAAACAGAAAAAAATTCACTTTTTAAAAATGTCACAGCCAACTATGATTACAATTTAAAAAAATGTAAGTTTGCGTTATAACTCGAAAATTATAAAAGACGAATAAATATTAATAAATGTATCTTATTAAGCGAAAAAAATCTACAATTTTTGTTCTATGCATATTTCTGTATTTCTAATGCTAACGATTCTACAACATTTAAAAGAAAAATCACTAAATCTGTTTTTCGCTCAGATCTAGTGAACTGTGGATTTTTTCACAAAACAAAAGCATATCTTGAATAAGCTCTTAAAACGACAACTAGTTCCTCATTTAACCGAATCTCTATGTCTTACGGTTTCCGAGATCCTAATGCTTAAAATGAAAAAAAACTCACCCTGTATATAACAGTCGATGGGGGTGCAATGTAGTCCTCGAGATCTATTGGTCTATAGTTCTCGGGGTAGAAGGTAAAATTAATTAATTTATTTCTGGGTTCTGTTCATTTTTCGTAGAGCATGGGCGCGGGTTAAGAGAGCACCTTCACCTTCACCTTCATCGTAATAGTTTGCAATGAAAAAAATGCGTCATAAAGGTCTCGAAAAATAGACGATTACCTCGAAATAGCATTTGAAATTTTAATTTTTTATGCCATTTCCTGATGAGTTCTGCCTCTTTTATGTACAAAAATTAGCAAAAAAGCGAGAGCGAAGGAAGTAATAACGCTTCCTGTTGTCACTACCTTTGGTTATAAAATTTCTAGCCAAAAAGGCGAAAGAATTCTCGGCTAGAGAAATTAATAATGCGGAAAGCACATCCGGAAGCACACGCAGACATAACCTCGAAGGTAATTTAAAGATAAAGCCTCGAATTAATTTGTATCACTCCTTGTCAGTTCATTATAATATTGTGTGAACTGAATATGTTTCTCTTTCAGTGCACCTGCTTATTACATTCGCATTAACAATGTTAACAATTATTTAAATTTGCATTTCTACAATTCCCCAGGTTATAATTACGCGCAGGTATCACAACTAATTATATGCAAATCACCTTCTGCATTGTACACTGTGTTAACATCTAATAGAGGAGTAAAGGGAAATTTATGGTTTACATTTTAATAAAGCCATAAAGATGGTAATTAAAGGAAAAAAAATCCGGCCGTAAAAAGTTTCGAAACATTCGGAAATATTTGATCAAGTCGGAAAGATGTTTAAAGTAGTAACTCCATTTTCTTAATTGAAATAAATTAGGAATACCCTTTGAAGTTCGCTCCGTTTTGTGGTTCCATGCAATTCCATCCTATTATTCGTGTTCCGCCATGAAATAGCTTCTTAATTTCGGCCGAAAAACTCGTTAACCGCAATTTTATTTGTTTCGCTTCTGTCTTTTCCATTTCACTTTTACGAGATTAAATTATTGTATTTTTTTTTGGCGTTTGCCCCACAAGGGCGCGAACGAGTGCGCGCGTCAGAGGACCCATTTATTTTCCTTCACCCCCCTCTGCTATACGGAATTTCAATTACATCGAGTTTACTCCGAGCTAATTACATATCAAAGTGAGTTCGCATTCTTTGTGTTAATTACAATATTTGTTTTCGAAGATTTTCGCTTGGGGTCTACTTGCCATACCGATTGCTTTGTTAAGGGCCGGAGGGGGATCAAATCTTGTGCGTTTCCTTTAGGAAATATTACAAATTCATGTTGAGTTTAAATGTATACGTATTAATTATAATATTGTTAATGACTTCCATGTGAAATAAAAACATTAAATAGTTCAATATCTCTCGTCCAAATTGCCATATTTTATAGTAAACAATCCACCTGCCCAGCAGGCAGGTATAATAATCTACTTGCAAAAAAGAAACTTGCATAAATTAACCAAAACCAAAGGACTTCTAATTTCCATTTTGATGGACTTCTTTTTGAAAATTTTCAATTTATAATTGTGGGTTTAACAAAGATCGTTATTAACTTTTGAATTTGAATTTTTGAGAATCTAAAATAACATAACTATCTTGGATGGAAATTATCTTGATTCTTGACGCATTAAATTTGCACTGACTTTGTATAGCAACCTAGTGAAATTAGCTTTTGAGTACAACACGTGTCTGATACTATTATTCAGCCCATCAGAAACGTCAAATTTAACGTGCGGGTTATCCAGAGGGGTTATCTGTCAAAAACGTTATTTAGTATAGGGCAAATAACGTTTTCTGGAGATAACCTGCACGTTAAGTTTAACGTTAGTGATACATCACAGGGGTATCAGGGCTGAATAACAATTAAAATTAATTTTTTTACGCGATACCTCTTAAAATCTTTTACAGACTTCTTAAAAGCATTTGAAGATCCTTAAGGACTAATACATGCCGAAAAAGACTCCACAAAAACTTAGTGAACTTTGTATGCTTTCAAATACTAAGATTCAAGGTATGGGGCTGTGGAGCACTTTAAAATACTTTTGAGAACCTTGAACCTTCTTAAAGATCAATAAATCCACATGTCTTTAATGGAATTAAGAATGTTATTCGATGTTTTTAGACACTCTGGGAAACTTTTGGATTAAAGCTTTTGAAGACTGAAATTTTTCTCAAGGAATTTCCGTGACTTATTTGCCAAAACATGGAATCAAATGCCTTGAACACATTTTTGAGATCATCGTATGACTTTCCTGAAAAATGAATAATGAAAATTTCAGTTTCACGAACCGCATTTTTTTCAGAAAATGAACAGGTGACTAAATGTCTTGCAAAAACTATTTTTTTTATACTTCTTCAACGGCTATAGCATTGTTATTAACTTTATACAATATTATTTATAATCAGCAAATCCAGGGCTACTCAAAACTATAAAAATATACAGGGTGTCCCATTATAAACACTGAAAATGTATTTTTTTGGAAATTCTCTGTATCAGAATGAGTTAAATGAAATATCACGATAATCCCGGTACCGTGTGTCCTATTTTGGTTGAGACTGTAGTGTATCTCAGCTGTTTTTAAGAGATTGTTGTTTTCGTGAGCCTGTGGCACTTTTTTTTGGGAAATTTGTAATACAGAATCAATCTAGTTACGCTTGTTTCTGAGATACAGGATGAAAACATTTTAGGATGCTATCATCATCATTATACAGCTGGAGGTGGCCATTTATTTTGCCCCTCTCATGAACATGTTATCTTTCTAGGCGATTTAAACATTAATACGCTTTTGCATGATCGTAATGATTTATCTTTTGTACTCCCCCTGCCAAAAAAAGAAGGATCATAACAGTTTTGGAGATTTGTGCCCCATCAGTATTCTACCAGCCCTCTCCAAGATACTTGAGAAGGAGCTGGAAAATCAAATTAGAAGGCACTTGTCCGTTAACAATATATTACCTGACATGCAATCCGGATTTTGACCCGGTTATCGCTGATGTATTTAGAGCTATAGGTTTTGTGACAGCATTGGTATTAATTGCCTACTCCAAGACCTTCCACACTCTCGATCACGACACCTCCACATTTTTATATGGAACACCCTGTATATTATTACATCGTATGATGGCTTATTCAATTCTTTACGAAAGTTCGTAATGCCCCATACCCAAAATAGTTCAAATAACCATGATTTTTCAATTATTTTCTTTTCGATCTAGTTATCCATGAAAATGGTAAACTACCTTGTTTGTTGTACAGTATCTCAGAGCCAACTTTAAAGTTTATTACATAGCGCTGTTAAGTTTATGTTTTTTACGCACCCTATACCTACTGAAAAAAATGAAAACGTTTTTGTACACCTTCTTTAATACAAGTATCAAGTAGTAACTTTAAGTTATTTTTATATGTATTACTTAATTTCATTTGTTATTTCTGTTTTGTTAACAACCTTGTATCAAAAAACCCTAGTTTTAGTTATTGTTTTAAATACTATATTGTGTATTTTTATCATTTTCATGGATAACTAGATCGAAATGGATATAATTGAAACAACTTGCTTATTTGAAGTATTTTGGATATGATACATTAAGAACTTTTGTAGAGA